CGTTTAGATGTTAAATGTAATTAAAAAAAAGGAAATGTAGCCTTGGAGCTTGTGCCTGTTGTTGATCCTGAGTGTGTAGGTGTGAGGTGGAGCAAACACACACACACACACACACACACACACACACACACACACACACACACACACACACACACACAAAAAAACCTTTTTTAATTTTTAGTGTCGGACTAAAATTTTTTTTTTTTTTTTTTTTTGTATATTGTTATTAAGAACAACAGCCTGAATGTGGTGAAGTGAGAAAAACAAAAAAACAAACAAACAAACAAACAAACAAATAAAAGGAGTCTGTTCAACAGGAAGTTTCAGTGATTGGTCGTACGATGGAATTGGATTTTAAATTAAATTTAATTTTAATTTTTTATTTTTTTTTTCTCATTTAAGTAAAGCATTCTAAACAGAGAAAAAAAGCCTTTAGAGCAAAATGTAATTCTTATTAATTCTTATCTTATCCTGGACCAGATGTAGTGGGTCGGCGGCCCTGAAGTGGCCCGCGGGCCAGGTGTTTGAGACCTTGTCTTATATAACAGAGAAGAACATTTTCTACAGTTCTTTGTTGATTGTGTTTACAGTTATATTTTATTATTTTATTATTTGATTTCCACTGTGGCCAATGAAGATGAACGTTTGTCTTTCCAGTCGCACTGGGACGGACTGACGGGACGACTGTCCTTCAACAAGACCACTGGTCTCCGCACCGACTTCGACTTGGACATCATCAGTCTGAAGGAGGACGGCCTCGAGAAGGTGAGTACTTCACCGGGTACTACTCTGTAGTACTACTGTACATGGGAACACATCAGAGTACACAGGTGACGTCACCGGATCGTCGGTACTAGAAACAGAGTCCGTGTCCCGCTAATGCTAATGTGACGGTATCATTTACCTCCTAACAAGGAGGCAGATTGGCTGCTCCAACATGAGCATAAGTTAGTGGTTCATAAAGCAAATTGGATTAGGGCACACATTAGGGTGTTAATTGGAAACGAATCTTAACGATGATTTGAGGTGATGCCCAATAACGCGCTTTGGCGCTAATGAGCTGTGTAAACACAAAAGACGGAGAAAAAACGGAGGGAAACTGGGAGGAGGTTTCTGATGATCCTGTAAATGGCAGAACCTTCTAGACCAGGGGTGTCAAACTCATTTTCACCCATAGGGGGAGGGGGGGCGGACACGTAAATGGAAGCCTGTTTAGCTGTAACGACTCCATAACGTAATAATAAATGTTTCTGTCGTTGATTATTATTTATTCAAGTAGCAAATATTTTTCATTGCTGTTTAAAAAAAAGATTTATTTTTTTAATGTATCACTTTAATGGACTTATTCAAATATTTTTTTTTTTAAATTTATCACTTTAAGAAACTCAGCTGCCTGGACTTCATTAAATGCTTTTTAAGATCCCGCGGGCCATACAAAATGACTTGGCGGGCCACATTTGGCCCCCGGGCCTTGAGTTTGACACACACACACACACAGCTTTTCTCCTTTGGAAACGTTTCTCAGACTACGCCTCCTCTCGGTCTTCAGTAAAAAAGCATCTTAACCCCCACGTGGCAGAATCTGGAAGATGATGAAGTGATGCATCGTCTGATTGGCCGATCCCGTCCTCCTCTAACGGCGTCGACGAATCCTACGTGGTTAGAAGTGGAAATGATTTCCCAGCGTTTGGCAGAAGCCCTCACGTATTTTTAATATCCACAAAATCAGTGTTGACTTGTGGAGGTTGTGGAGATGCGACGTCTTCTCCTCTAATCCTCCGTAATTGAATATTAGCCTGGATGTTAGCGGCGGCTAAGAAACCCCGCTAACAAGGGTTAATGAAAAAGATCATTTTAATTTGAATTCAGAGTTTCTGTAAAACAATGAAAATTGGTCAAGTCTCTCTCGCTCTCTCTCTCTCTCTCTATCTCTCTCTCTCTCTCGCCCTCTTCGGTCATGTGACAGGCTGTAACTAATGTGCTTATTAAATCAGCCTAAATCTGCTTCTCTCCAGATTAGACAGAGAAGACGTTAACAGTTTAATTTTTTTTTTTTTTTTTTTTTTTTTTTGGT